CAGGCACGGAGTGCTCATAGAGCAGGTCTACAGAGTGAGATGGGACACGGCTGGGCAAGACATGCAGGCGAGACTGGAGCTCAGGGCAGCACGACATCGGGCATGCCAAGCAGGGTGACCCTGGGGAATGAGGCAGGGGTGCAGAGCAGGAGGAGCCTGTAGTGTCCCAAGGGCCATGCGGGTGAGGGAGAGCTCTGCCAGTGAGAGCTGCCCTGGGAGAAAAACAGCGAGGGTCCCTGGGGCGAGCAGGGAGCAGCAGCTGGCAGCAACCAAGGGGTGTGGAGAGAACCAGAGGGAGCAGACACTGCGGGACGGGTGTGGGGGGCGTGCTGGCGGGCTGGGGCTCCGGGAGGGGAGGTACAGGGACTGGCACTGTGGAGGGCAGCGCGCGAAAGCGTGAGGCTGTGGGTGGACATGGAAGAGGGAGGGTGTGAGCAAGGACTGTGGGAGGAAGAGGAGTTTTAAGGGGCCTGGGGCTGAAGCAGAGGTGAGGGAAAAGGGGCAGCTGTGAGGGGGCTGGGTACTAGTGCAGAGGAAGGAGGGAGCCGTGCGAGGGGGCTGGGAGGAGGAGCAGAGCATGGGGGGAGAGGAGCGTGAGGGGCTGGGGCCTCTCGGCTGCAGTGGAAAAGCTGCTGCAGCTCCAGGGGAAATGCTACTTGAATTAATCATGGCGCTGGCTGCTGTGCCAAGCCCAGGAGGAGGCTGCTGGCAGTGCAAGGAAATAACTTTCACAGGAATTTGGAACAAATGCAGCTCTTCTGGCGGTAACAACAGCACTCACCTCCCCCACAACCTCCCCAAGTACCAGCATCTCCCCCATGTCCCCACTCCTTGTGTACCCCCAGACTCTCCGACATTACTGCCTGCTCTCCCAGTAGCATGGTGCACTCCATCCCCTCACACTGCTCCCCAGCAAGCTCACAGGCATCTCCCCCTCTTGCCTCAGGAAGCTTGCCACCTTGTTTCTGAGAAGGTGGAGGCCTGTTTTATGTCGTGCAAAGGTCTGAAAATAGGTTAATGCTAAATCCCTTGTCCCAAGAAAACGAATGCATGTAGTAATGTCCTCCTCATCTCCCGCGACTCTCTTTGGCAGCAAAGTCAGTGAGCATTAGTCCTCTTGCTGTTCCAGTCCCCATGCATGCCTACTCCCCATGTCCTCTCACAGCTACCCCCTTCAGTAGCATAACCGATGCTCAGGATTATCTGTCAAGACTCTCTCAGTAATACAGTATATGCGGTCTGGTCTAGCCTACGGCACTTCATGCAGGTCTTCCTATCTGGGGCACAGCCCAAAAGGCTGTCCTGCTGCTGTGCATGCAGCATAGCCAGTCCTACAGAATCACAAAGCGGTACTCAAACTTCAAAACTCATCAGATGTGTTGTCAAAACTACAAGATAAGACTATTCATTAGGTGTTCTGCTGGTCACCTTTTGATTTCTGATGTTTTTGTTCCCCAAAAATTGTGTGTATGGATGCAAAGGAAATATGTGAACTCCTGTTCCAAAATCATTAATATTGGATCTATGCAAGAATCAATAATCCACCATCTCATTCATATTTCTGTCAAATCAGCCTGTGCTCACAACATGGGGTTTACACAGCTCTCTGTGTTTTATGCTGGCTGCCAGAGGATAGACAATATTTGATTTAGCACGAAAAGTTGGAAAGGCCCAGAAAGACAATATCTGACCATGCATGCAGCTTGCTGGTACAAAGTCAAATGTTTAAAACAAATTTAAGCCAGCAGGGTGAATATATACCAGAACAGTGCTTCACATCACATAACCATAATATTTGAATGTAGTCCGATGAGCCCAAAAGCTTCTACATTATCAGTTCATGGCCACAGAAACAGACAACCCACCAGTGACTATCCCTCACTCTATTTTCTGCCAGTGTCGTGTTCACTGATTCCCTGGGCTCCTTCTCCCCTGGTGTTTCTCTCTCATCTCAGACTTGAACTGTGAGTTTGCTATTTCCTTTTTTTTAGTGGTTGTGCAGAGTGTGCTACTGTAGGACCTGGCCCATGACAAACATGAGTAATCAATAACAAAGATGTTATGAGATCCTTTTTCTTTCTTGGGAGCTAAGGCCAGCAACCTGTTCTGCTCGTCTCTGCTCATACACCAAACACAAGGACCAACCTGGCAGAGAGGATGGGGTGTGCAAGGGAGCAGGAGACCTGCAGCCATGCTTCAAGTTTCTTCTGGTCACTCACATGGACTCCTCACTTACCCACTGTTCTGCCCTGCCCACAGAGAGCAGACATCATCTCAAAATAGGCCTGGTCCTCCCAGGACTTTTTGCTCAGACACATGGCAGTCCGATGGAGAACCGAACCCATTCAGTTCTGTGCTGCCCTTGGAGGCTGTCCTGTGTCCTGCACATCACACTGGCATGGCCTGCATGTGGCCTAAGCTGTCATGACCATCATGTGGGTCTGAGCCAAATTCAGACCTTGACAGAGACCCTTTAACCTCTCAGGGCAGGATGAGCTCTGATGCATAGAAGCCACGGACAGATGGACTCAAGCGGGAGCAATTGCACACAGGGGCTGTGGGGCAGCACACCTGACGTGGGTGACCCTGTGGGACACGGTGCCAGCTGCTGGCCACCGTGGACCCTGACAGCACCTCTGAAGCCCTCGTGTTTGGGCCAACAGGGGTGCTGTGGCTGAGGGGTGGCAACACCAGGCTGTTGTGTTCTGAGATCTGGGCTCCCTGCCCCAGCTCTACCCGGCTCCCCGACCTGGCGCGCTCCTGCTGCGGCCCAGTGCCGAGCCGGCAGCCTGCCCAGCCTCCTTTCCCATCCTCTCACGTTTCCCGGCTCAGAGGAAGCAGCAGCAGATGTGTGAGCTGTTTGCTTTGTGCCGAGGCCACGCGGGAGTTACCTGCATTCAGCCCAGACGCGCTGTTTCCAAATGAAACATGAGGGCTGAGCCAAGACCGTCGAAATCTGGCCAAACCCTCAGTCGCTGCCGGCCGCTGGGCCAGCATCTTCCCCAGTGCAGTGTGGAGCTGGGCTGGCCCCTGCACTACACTGGCCTCAGCACGGCCAGGCAGCCGCGTGCTGGACCAGCTTCTCTGTGCCATCCCCATGGCCCCACACCACCCCAGCTCCTCCACAGGTCCCACTCTCCCTCCTGCCTGTCCCTGCTCTCACATTCAGGAGCCCAGACGCCATCTCCGATTGCAATTCCAGAACGCCTTCCCACACGGCAAGCGGCACTGAGCAGGAAGGCACGGAGGAGAGAGAGGGGGGCCTCCCTTTCGGGGGCTGCTGCAGCAGAGACATCCCTGCACATGCCTGGGGCCTTCATGCTCCCCCAGGGACACATGGCTTCTCCGCTCCAGCCCTGTCCCTGAACCCACCCCCACCCTTGACCCCTTCCCCATCTCCATCCCCAGCCCTGGTCCTGTCCCTGTCACCATCCTCAACCACCTGGGACTGTGTGGAGTGTTGCCCTGCACAGACCAAACCCAAATCTTCCCCCACCCAAATCTTGCTCATCATCTCCCACCCACTCCTTCTGCCTAGACTTACCCCCCAATCCCATGATGATCATCCCCTATCTCCCCAGATCTGCCCCATCCTAAACTTGCCCCTGTCCCATGTCTCTTTTCTATTCTACACCTGGCCCTTGCTCCCACCCAGTTCCTCCTTCCCCTCTACACTCTCCCCCACAGTCCTAACCCCTGTCCCCTGCACTCACCCACCCCAGACACCCCTCTCCAGCACTCCCATCCCATCAATCCCCTGCATTCATCCACCCTACATTGTCCACATGCTCATGTTCCCCACCATGCCCCAGCAGTGCACCCACAGCACACCTATAGTCAGGATTTTCTCGCCAGCTCCACTCCCTCCTCCAGGCCCATCTGGAGGCCCTTTTCCCTGGTCAGGTTGCAGGACCTCCTCCTGCCTTGTCTCATGGGCCCCAGAATTCCTTCTCCCCCTTGCCCCCTCCTTCTGGCCCCATGGGCACTGCTCACCACCTGGCCCCAGAGCCCCTTACAGTCCCAAACAGACATCCCAGTGCCCCACAACTCCAGCAAAGAAGTGCTCCAAGCTTCACAGGTGCTTGTCCTGATGGACAGTCTGGACGCTGCCTTGGCTGGCAGTGCCTTGCTGTACTACCGCACCAGTTCTCCCCTGTCAGCCCCAAGCCCCACATCTCCCCATCCTGACTCAGACGGCTGCATCGCCTGTCTCCAGCAACCAGAGCTCCAGGGGCTGAGCTGCAACTGAAACAGTAAATGCAGGGAACACAAAATATACAAAATACAAATGGCATCACTGGCACATCTCGTGATCCGCAGAACCTGTCAGAGGAGCAGCATCTCTCCAGGCCTCACCTGTGACCTCTCACTAGACAAAGGCTGAGGCAGCATGTGTGTCAGCTCAAATCCCACAGGTGCTGTTTCCAAGGTAATACAACGATACCAATTGTGCATAACTAATGCTAATGTTCACAAGCAGCCCTACAAACACTAATGAACTTCGGCTAATGACCTCACAGAGCGAGAAAGAAGTTAGCAGCTTGGCTACAAGCATCTTGCTAGAGGCCTTACCCATGTTCCTGAGCACCATTTTGAGTGTCCTGGCCAGGAAGGCAGCTCCACACTTGTGCAAGCAAGGCCTGGCAGAGTGGGTCCCAGTCTTAGCTGAGGTCAACACCATGCTTTGCACAAAGAACATCCTTGAGGTATGCCCATACTATCGTGATATCACCCAACACCTGCCTGCAGAGAAACGGTGTAACACTGTTCTGCCCCACTTCCGACTCACAGTGAGCACGAGGATCTCCATTCTAGCATT